CTCAGATTATTGCATCCCAGTTACAAAATATGTCAAGAGAAACAACAATAAGTCATACAAAACATGAAGATGGCTTTGAAAAATGTACAAAGGAAAGGAGTATTGAGTCTACTGATCATAAAGGTGGTCCATACACCAAAGGAATGACACCAGAAGAACGGAAACAGTTTTTCAGAACAAAATTAAATCAGAAAGCTCGTGAAGGTTTTCGATTTTGGGTAACCGAACGGCCTAAACCAACAAAATGTAAGCGTAAACACTTATCGATATTAATACTTACATTAAGCAGTAATCATCTATGGAATGATATATTCCTATATGTGTATTATTATACATTTATATATTTTTGTAGTGTATTTCCAATGAAATAGTCTTAAATTAAAGCTAAAACATATGTTACCTTAAGCAATGGTTAAAAGAAAGTTTAGATCAAATAGAATAGATGCATTTGAATGTAGCTTCATTGTTTATTAGTTATCAAAACTTATTATTCGTAAGAAATAATGAAATGTAATCATTGGAAGAGTGTAGTCTGAAGGTGAACTAAGTCAGTGGATATATCTTACTACAAAATACAGAGAGGATTTTATCAGCTTCCAGTTTGCATTTAAGTCAGATATTTAGTATTGTATATTCGAAATATGTAAATTCATAGGGGTCGGAAAATTATCCGTAACAATTTATGTTATCATTTAAAATTTGTTAAATTTGTCGTCATTACATCCAAAAGGAAATTTTAGCAATACAGTTAGCTCTCAAACCTCATCCATTAAAATACTGGTAGTTAAATATTTCGAACAGCTAACGTATTTATCTTGAAACTTGATCTATTCTGTTCACACAATGATATTCAGAAGCACTAAAGAAGATTAGTAATACTCATGTGGGGTGTGCAAATTATGCTCACAGATATAAATAGAATTTAACAGTAATCGGAAGTGGAATGCCTACCAGTAGAAGATTGAATTAAAGAGAACAGGAAGTGTAATGAATGAAGACTCGGGTGAGGGACAACCAATTTATTGTTTATTACAAAACTACAAAATATCTTGGTAAAATATGGGAACCATACATTGTATACTTCACTTCCATCATTTGTCCTTTACACTCTATTCTTCCAGTTTTTAATTTCTTTCTGTTTCCCTTTCTATTCTCTTCAACTCGATCTTCTTAGCCTTCTGCTGCTAGTTTTTCCACTTCCGATTGGTGTTATATACTACTCGTGTCTGTTGATATAACTAGCTTACACTACAGAAGAACAACTCAATGAAAATGTGCAAATGATGTATTTTAATGTACAGTTTTCATATTTTACGAAGGCATTCCGTAATTTTGCATTAAACAATAAATTGGTCATCCCCATCACTTCTTCGTGCACTATCCCTGAAAAATAAGTGGTTTGGGATTTTTCTATCATCTGAGTGTTGCAGTCTCAGTAGTTTTAATGAAAAAAAATGTTGAAAGAGCTTCACATAAAATAGTCTGGAAGCTCAGACACCTTTTACCGACAAGCGCGTCAACAATAGCTGTTCACAATGCTACTGTGCTATAACATCTTATGCCAAGTTATCAACAGAAAGGCCAACATATTGTTGGTGTGATCAATGTTTAAAAAACAGTACTATCGAGCCTGTTACCAGTACGCCCATTGAAATCCACAGTTGATAAGGCTGACATCGACGTGCCCTCAATAACCCCTCCATTAGTTGAGATTATTTCTAACAGTTCGCTAAGTTCTTGCTGAACATCCAACTTGTAACTTAATTTTGTAAGAAGTTCTTTCTCGAAAAACCAGCCTATGCTAATTAAATCTAATTAACACTCAATGAGCAAAGAACACTTTCATTCCTGCCATGACAATCAGCAGCAATATGAATTCTGATAATACATCTCCTTGGCATGTGAGCTGAATGTTTCCGCCGTAACTTGGTGAATTCGTCACCACCTACATTTTTTGAATAGGTGAGTTTGAATTTAGGAACGATTAGTATACACTTTGACATTAAAATACATCGGCTTTTGATGTACCTTTTGCAGAAGATAACTGACGCAGAAACAGTCAATTCGTTCATTTCGCTTAAATAATGACAATAGATACCAAACTATGTTTTCCAGATTTCGGTGAAATTGAAGCTTTTAACCGTTACAAAAAGATAATAGATTGAAATCATGAGTCAATTGAAGCACTGGACGGCCGTCCAGTGCTTCCAGGCTTTCCATGATGGTCTAGCTTCAATTGACTTATGATTTCAATCTGTGAAATTTCTAAAAATCTCCACAAACCCCTTCTGATAAAAGATAATAAGCAGTAACCACTGAAATTTAAACTGTCTGTAGAAATATCATACTGAGCACGTTTTATCTACCATTTTGCTTTGGCACAACTTTATATTGGAAGATATAAGCTCATAAAGTCTCAAAGCTTTATATCAAGATAAATATGGCTAAAAATCTAGTTACGTTTCCTGTCCAACAGGTCTACTTATCTTTAAGCTATAACCATCCGAATCAACTACTCTTGATTCATAATTTCTATTTTGTTTTTACGTAACAAGTAAATGAAAGGCATGACTTCATACGTGAGTATGCACCTCGAAGTTTCCGAAGATGATAGTAAAGTTAATATATTTGAAATCAACCATCCATGCTCTGAGAATCCAACAGAAACTACCAACCTTATCCTTAACCATACATAAACCTAGCTATATGAAATAAATTCCACCACCATTAATATTATTAATGAAATTATATCCATGTCTTTTAATCACTTTTCGACAATTACTGTTTTATTATTTCAGTTGGCCATTACTCAATGGGAGCCAAATATACTTTCCTCGGATTATGCAATGCCCCGAGAAGTTGAATATTTCATTGTATTGTACTGTTTGTTTCCAATAAAATACACTCAATTCCTTTTTAGTAAAATGTGCTATGTTAAATAAACAACTACGCACAAACGCTGCCTTAGTTTACTACCTGAATCGGATATGACTAAATGAAACTAGAACTTATAGTCGAATATTCATCAGCATACATATGCCAAAAATTAGTCTCAAAGACGAGTGATTAAACAAATCTGAAGTTGGTTGAATTTTAACCGTGCAGGCAATTAACTAATAGCTTTCACTAACTTTACTAGGTCAAGCAACCAGCTTTTTTAGTCAGTGAAGAGTATATGAAAAAAGTTATCAGAGTACATGAGACGTAGTACACAATAAACTGACCTCAATGAAAATTGGTTACAATAAGATAAACTCAACAATTGTCTTCATTTGATACATGAGGTCATATCCCTCACGGTAACTGGATTTTACTAGTCAAAATGTGATTGCCATAAGAGATTCGACATGTGATTAAGCTTGTTTCTTGAAAGCAAAACTATGAACTCCACACTTGAATTTATATTATGAGGTTTGAATAAATATTAATTCATTTAAGCCATAGGCTTGACAAGTCCTTTCACCTCGATGTGGAAATTAAGGTAAACAATTAACAATAAAAATCATAAACATAATCTACACTTTATTTAAAATACATGTTTCCTCCATAGCTTTCTATTGAACTATTCAACTGCGGGGGCGATTAGTGTCGAGTAGATCCGTAACTCAAGTAAGAAATATACAATTTCCTTACTTGCAAAGCAGATAAACAAAATAGTGAGATTGACTATGAAGTCAAGTCACCGTGGTAAGATTTGCAATAAATGTTTCGGCATGAATTTACCATTTACAGGAAAATTATAAAGGTAATAGGATCATACTCTTAACACCTACTAAAGAAACACAATTGGAAAAGATGTTCCATTGAAAATGGTTGAAGCATATCATCAATTCCAACACTCATATGAAAGTCTGACTTCCCATTTCTTGCATTCAACATGAAACTTTCGAGTTAGATAATCAGTTATGAAAAGCTTTTCAAAGCACTCATTTTAGGTAATATATACAATCACTGATAAGAAATTGGTTCTAGAAAAATTTACATATTTTATCGAGAAAATTACTATTAATCAATCCTGTAATTATGGTAATGTATCATGTCCAAATGCGACCAGGCTGTTCTAGAGCTTAAAAAACAACTAAACGTGAATTAATCACCCTCGAAACTCCGTACATTTCTTGTCAAAGCAATTAAAATTCCCTCGTTTTATCACAAAAATACTGTGCTGCGAGAATCCCGTTGATTCGGTCTTATAATCGTAATCTAATTGATTGTGGGTGATTGAACACCTAAGAAACAAATCCCTGTATATTAAACCCTCATATAAGCAGGAGTCTCATCGTGCGTATTTTACACTAACAATTTTGGACTGAATTAGTTACAAGTTTACAATTATCATGATATTTTACAAAGGCCAAAATAAAGCATGTATTAATGAATTTGACAATGTTATATGTTAAAAATGGTTAAATATAACTTTCTCAACTAAGCCAGTACTTACACAATAAATCAAGGACAGGTTAACGATGATGGGCTCCTCCATGTGTGTATACCAATTCGACTGCTCCTGTGCAGCTAGTTACATTGGCCGTACTCAGGCTTTATCCTTGCGTGTTCATGGACATGTGCCAGAACGGTTAGGAAAATGAGTTACTAAATAGATCAACAGTACTGTTCTTTCTCATTTGGTAGATAGTGAACATCACATCAAAATAGAGGGAGCTTTTTCGGTTTCATATAAAATTCCGAAGGATCTACATCAAGCAGCTAGATTACGGCTACTCTACACAGCTGAAGCCATCTGGATCAATTTCATAGAACCGAACTTATGTAACCAGAAAAGATATAAACAGCCTTTATGTTTACCGTGGCCTACTACTGGATCACCGGATACCTAAACTGAATATTATTATTATGACTTGACACTTCAACTCATTCGGACCTTTATTAAATGACCTTGCTAATATACAAATAACACAATTTCGAAGTATATATGTCGTAACAGATGCAAACGTTCACCATTTTTAACATATAACATTGTCAAATTCATAAATACATGTCTTATTTTGGCTTTTACAAAATATCATAATTATGGACTTAACTGTAAAGCCTGATGATGAAGTTATTGAGAACAATTGTTTGCTCAAATATTCTTCATTTTTGAATTAGTTACCTACATGGAAAATATTGTAATAGTTAAGAAAGTTATCTGCATACTAAATGACTGTATATTGTACTCAGCAAGTAGATGAGAAAGAAGAATAAGCATATTTTACAAAAATCAATATAATCAAATGATTTGTATATACAGATCTCAATAAACGGAACAGAACAGTTAACGTCTCTTTCCGAATCCTCGACTTTTTGGCCTTCCAGGACGCCCAACTTTATTCTTACGCTTTCCATGCTTTTTTCCATCTTTAGCTTTTTGCTGTCCACGTAAATCTGCTTTCATTCTTTTATCTACAATTTTGACTTTAGCACCTTTTTGAGGTTTAGTTCCCCCGCTACGCGAACCAGCTTTTGTATTTACAATTACATGAAGAGGGCGACGCTTCTTTTTCAACAGGCCAGCTTTCTTATAAAGTCTAAGTGTAGAAATGAAAATGATAACTAAATGATCACACACTAACACAGTGAATTAAATTTATTGATGAGCAACTTATGGGTTAAAGATGTTAAAATCTATCAAAGGTACTGATTTGTCTACATATATCAACAGCCTATGTTCGAATACGGTGTAACAAATATACTTACAGACAATCTTTGTATAAACAAGCTGAATAAGGATTCCAATGCGTAAGATGTAACAGTTGGATGCTTTTTAAATGAACTAATATGTTATGCTATTATCTAAAACAAAGGTACACTGTTACTAGGGGTTTGCAATTTCCTGTTCATATCTGATGAACGAGTTATTCGTTTGTATAACGCGTTGGAAGCTTGAAGTCCAAGGTTATGGGTTCAACGCCGAGGTGAAAGTGCACTCAGATAACGACTACTAAACGGGACGAAACACGTGTTCTGGATTCCACTGCTAAGCATATACCAAAATATACACTGGATGAAAATAGTGATATTAAGTAGCTGAAAATCCATGCAACTCAGCAATTAAGAACAGATTAATGTAGCTGGTTTTAATTCATAATTAGGATCTGTCACATTCTGTCCAAATGACAGAATGTGAGGCAGGATTCGGACGTGCGACCCAGTTGTTGAGGATCGAATGTTTATACAACTAGTTTGGAGTTCTGTAGTAGCTGCTAAAGGTTCTGTTACACATTCATCTAGAAAGTGAATAATTAAAACCCTCAAAACAAACACGAAGTAGATGCTATTTCCAAAGATGTATAATTGCCCTACTATTAAACTATATTCAAGTACTAACAACTCAAGCCAAAACTAACAACGTATTTTTTATACCAGCACTTACTGTTTTATTTGTTGCCACTTTTCAGTTTCTGGTATTTCATCAGATATACCTTCTGCCTTCTGACGAATTCGTTTTAAACGTTTGGCTAGACGAGCCTTTTTACGTGCTTTGGCTTGTTCCGCTTTTGAAAGGGAACGTCCCATCGTAGGTACATCGACCGGGATTTCCTCCTACGATAGTAAAAATAAAAACAATTAGGGCAAAATATAACACGGACTACTAATAACGATATAAGTACATATATAAAAAACTGTAATAGTTAGATGTAAGAAAATTCAGTTTTTCTACCAAGACCGAGTCAAACTTATCAACTCTAAATGATTGTCTAGATCTACGTAAAATTAAAAAGATCCACACACAATTATCGAAGAACAGGCCCCCAGAGTAATAAAGAAACAGCTTCATACGCAAAAACAATTGTGTGCATCATTTCCGCTTACCGCCCACAATCAAACGGCCAAGCAGAAAGGTTTGTGGATACATTCAAGAGAGCCCTAATCAAGTCGAAAGGGGAGGGGATGCCAGCGGAAACATTGTAGAACTTCCTATTCGTTTACTGAACGACACCTAGTCTATGCTATCAGAATAGAAATCCCCGGCAGAGATCCTCATGGGAAGAAAGTTGAGGACGATACACAATATGATGCTTCCGAGAACCACACCATCACAGACCAGGTCCCAGAAGCTACTAACACACGGGGTTGGATGTCCGATGTTCGCTCGGGACTACAGACCAAATCATGGTCCCTGGACAGAAGCACATGTGGCCGGAAAACTAGGTCATGTCATGCACGAGGTAGAGGTGGGAAGAGACAGGAGGACTCGACACCGAAACCAGCTACGTAAGCGGCTAGCTCCAGCTCGCCCATCGACTGACGGGAATATTCCTCTGGACATCCTGTTGGATACCTCTAGTCTGCCCGTAGTCCCAACACAGGAAGAAGCACAACGACAAGCCAGTCTACCGTTCAGCAGGTGGTCACTGCGACAACGGCGACAGATGGTCAAGATGCAAGTGGACCCCATGAACGTACGTTACTAAGAGGGGAGGTATTGGGGATGTTAGATTCCCAGAGCTCATTTGGTAAATGCCTTATTTTTGTAATTCTATTTTAAAAATTTGAATTCCTTGTTTTCGCACCAAAAGCACCCATTGTAACCTTCATGTCCTATTTCCCACTTGGGAGGATCCTAAATGATATTGTTTCTTTGTCTTTTACAGTATGCTATTTTGTAACGTTTCCCAAGGACATTTTTATGTTGCATATATACGCTTGAGTTGTGCTTATTGTGGTTGTTCGTGCTTCTGGCTGCATGTAGAACATATTTCCCTCTTCTGAACTTGGGGTTCTCTCTAGTTAGCGGAATAGCTAGCTTATTGATCATTGTGTCACTGAGTGTTCGTTCCGTTCTCAGATTAGGTGAACTCGTAATCTCTTGAAACATAGCACTATGATATTAAGGGATCATAAAGCGGGGGAACATAACTTAATCCCTATTCGAGAATCTATGAGCTGCAAAGCTTTAGAAGTACAAATCAGAAAATTTTCTTCGATCGTCATGTATTCATTGAGATAACCGTGTGAGATCATACTCAATGACAACACCATTTAATTTTAATGAGACTTAATATTCTGTCTATCTATATTGTAAGAGAAGTGTATTCTCATCTCATTATAGAAGAATTGTCATTTATTAAATCACATGGTTATTTACTGAGTGATTCGCTCATGTTCTGACAAAGGGAACGAAACTTCAACCTTTTCGTCATGAAAATAAATGTTATATACAAACTGTCAAAAACAATATTTGAGTTCAAACATTTCATACATAAATATTTCATTTTCCCACCTAGCTTTTAATAAAGACGTGACAGAAGCAAAATAAGTTAATAAAAATCCCATAAATCAAGCTCAAACGTACTAGACCGACTAGGTCTCTCATACTAAAAAAGATATTAACTACAAACAGATTACTTTTTTAACCATTATGGGTTTTCTCATATGTTTCTTTTCATCTTCAATAAACCAATCGGGCAAATCAGAGGACTTTTCAAAGAATTGATAACGATTATATCCTGATTCAAGTAGTTCACGTCTAGATTTTGCAGACTGAATAAGACGAGTGGCTATGGCACGCTCTTCTGCAGTTAATGGGCGATTGAGACGTCGTATACGGTGTAATGGTTTCTCAAGTTTTTCAGCTAATATTTATTAAAATTGAAGAAAAATGAAAAGAGTTTGCAGTGAGGTTATGAATCCATGTTATGTTGACTTATTTTCTCCATTAAGATTGAGAAAAAAAGAAAAATGTGATCACCAAATTAAGTTGTTATTATTTCAGTCGAATTTCTTCTCCTAAATTTCCAATTCTCAACATCTATTTGTAATGTGTTAATTACACTAGTTGAAAATGTGGTAACTTCAATCAAGACACGATTGTCGCGTGTTTTACCTCAATTTAACTGTTTTCACAAAATACTAGTATTTCTCAAATCCAACGAAGTCAACGTTTGTCTTTATATTGTGGAAAAGCTTCGCATAAACAACGCGTCAAAAGGTTCATACTCCATAAAACTGAGCAACTATGAATCAAAGTATGAAAATCAAGTAATCCAACTCAAAAAAGCTTTTCGTCTTGGGAAACATTCTACTTATTATACGGAATATAAGAGAAAAACTAAGCGATAGTTTGTAACGTTAATTCTGATTCACACTAGATGTTTCAAATTACTGACCTCCAGTCCAGAACAGAGTCACTAGCAATCCTTATAGAAGAAAATAGCAAACTGTTGACTCGTAATCACTGTGAATAACACAGATGCAAGTTGACGGCTATCAAGTTTAAATAACTGAACAATTAATGGATAAATCTGATGTATATTATCAATTGGTGAAATAAACCAGCTGATTCATGTATAAAGTAAACGAAGGCATTTAATAGTGCATATGAGAATGATTCTAGTTGCTAGATAAAAGAAAAGACGTTAACATCTACTCACATGAAACTTTAGGTATCGAAATTTCTGAAGATGGTGACACACAGTTATCTTGTAAACCGACAGTTTCATCATTAACCGTTTTCTTTTCGCGTTTCTTTTTCTTTATCACAGTATCTGATGTATACTCAGACTTAGACTTTTTAGTTGAAGTGACCGTCGAAATATTCTCGTCTTCTTTTTCCAATGGAGCAAGTATTTCCTGAAATTATATATATATAAGTGCAAAATGATTATTTCAAAAAAATAGATGAATAAAAAGAAGTAAAGGAGAAAAGACAGAAGTTGAAGCATTAATAATGTCATTTAAAAAGCTCAAATGTTAATAGATATCGTATGGGAAATTACTAGCTGGTTCTTTGAGAATAGTAAACTAAAATAAACACTACTTCAAATATAATTTAAGAGTAGAAACGGTTCTCCATGATGCAGGTTATCAATGACTATTTTAATGCCTTAGTGATATTTCAAGCGTAAACATTCAGCAATCAAATGACTGACCATGTTTAGGTAACTTGCAGGAAGTTATATAACTTTACTTTTTCCATTTGAAAAAGCAGCACTTTAGTAATTAAAGCACTAAACTTTCAACTACTACGTTCGAGATTCGAAAACCAACCTACCGTAGTCCAGCGAGGAAGCTTTACCATTCTTCATACAACACGGATGAATCAAATGGAAATAGACTAACCTGGGCATAGTTAATTAATCATGCTCTTTTAAATTACGCTTTTCGAAACAGTTTTGATAACCAAATTCTAAGATTTAGTAGCTAACCTAAGAACATGTAATATGTATTCCTGAAGATACCATAAATATTTAACCTACATAAATTGACACAAATCAGAAACCAAAATTTTTGAATGATACAATAAGCAAGAATTAAACAGTCACACCAGTTATTTATGAAGTATGTAACTGAAAGACTCGTTTTAGATTGCAGTCATAAGGCACTTGGATCATTGTGATGCGTACTCAGTATAGAAATCTTGTAGAAAACCCTAAATTATGTATCAATTGTATAATAAATGTATGAAAAGTCAATAACTGAATATCTGCTAAATCTATTAAAGATGAAACAATAATCAAGGCAATTCTCACTTGAATTTCATCCGAACCAAACCATGACTCTATTTTGCGTTTTTTCTTGACAATTTCTTCAGAATCGTCCAAATCTACGAGCAAAGGGTTCCTTTTACCTTGTTCAGAAGTAGATAATGCTAATCCAGGTGGTAGGATCATTTTTCGTTTGGATTTAACCCTCCTGTCATTCGAATAGGATTTTAAAGAAGGCGAATTCGATAAACTGATACTATTTGAATCCTCATCGATTTCTGAAGATTCTTCTTCTGAACTTAAGGTTGATTTTCGATTTTCACGATTTTCTTTACCCGACTCACCTTCACTGCTTTCTTCAGAACTCAGATACAAATCATCACGTTGGTTATGTGCTGCAACCATGAAGCAAAATATATGAAGGTTTCATATTTCCAATCGCAGTGGTCTATTCAATTGGAAGCAAAGTACTTAACATAAGTAGCCTATTTGAGACAAAACAACACAGTTGCGCCAATGTTGCATAGACGAAATACATCTATGAACTAATTGGATATAACTATATTTGAGATCCGAACAAGCCGATGACTTATTATACGAGTCTTATGAGTTGGCTTACTTATTTTTTAAAAGAAGCAATTCTATATTTATATAAGCTCGTATGAAACACTGAAGATTTTATATAGTTTGGAATCCAGTAATTTTGGGACATGTAGTTATGATGTACAAATCTGTAAACGGTCTCTAAACTATGGTACAATCAAACATCTAATTCACTGATGAAACTCAATCTATTTATAGCACTTGTTAGTAGAACATAGACTGGACTAAAGCAAGCTCAATGCACGATTGCTTTGGTGCACGCTGATTGCCTAATTCTTATCCAATCAGCACTAGTCGATAGTTGGAGAATACTCTGGAATCTTCTCATGTAAAAACTATAAATATACTGACGTTTTCCCTATTGTGCTTCTTACTTGCTTCTTACTTCCATCTAACCTTGTTATTTGGAATATAATCTTTTTCCTGTTCAACCGTGTTCTGATTTGGGGACTTGTCGAGTGAATCGGTGTCCGAGAATACTAAGCAACAGGAATAGCTGGGTCATAACCGTAAGAAGGAGATTATAAGAGCACTCAAAAGTTCAAGTGGAATTAAATGATGAAACAATCTATGTTAAAGAAAATCTCATACAAAACTGGCACGAATATGTAGCATCGGCAGAGTTACTATGCACGCGATTCGGACGAATTGGCAGTTGTTTGGATTTAGACTAAATCGTTAACCAGGCACATTTGTGTACTTAGTTTCGAGCTGCACTCTAAGTATGAGGGCTGATGATACTAAACAGTTTTTCATATTGAGATACGTAAGGCGTTTTACACTGCAACTTGGTAACTAGGAGCCGAGAGCCTTGATGACTATCAGGGAATTCCTACTCACTGTCTTCTTGGGGCGAGGGTGCTGTTTACGACATTGAGAGAACAAAAAGTGAATATCCAGCGCCTTAACTAGATTGGTGGATACGGAAAACCCACCTAGGAGAGTTGGAAAACTCTGATTTCAAACCAATGGTGCACATGGACTCCAGGATCCTGAGCGGACAAATAGCATATGAACCTAATGTTGGTCATTGGCTACTATAGGGCTGCATCTCCTAACGTTGCTCTACTTGTGGATTAAACATCCATGTCAAAAGCCCGGAGATTGGCTCTCTAAGAAAACTACCTGCTTCGGTTTGGGCGCCCGGGCAGAATCCAAGCCTTTACACAGATCGAATGGTGAAGTGTGGTACATATGCATTTGGTGCCTCCTTGTACTAATAGTTGTGTTTAAATAAATATACATGAATGAAACAGATTTGGTGGAAAAAAATTACGGAACAAAATCGGTGACAGATATTCAAAACATGTGAGAGATCTTATTAAAATGTCAAAAGCACATAGTATAAGAATTCAGTTAACCTACAAGTAGAATAAATTGATTTTTGTATTCAAATACAAAATCCAAGGTTCACCTAGCTAACAAAATTGTTAGAAACATAACCAAACATAAGATTTGCAACAAAAGTTGACATGTTTTATACTTTACTATCTAACACAAACTTGTGAGGAAGAAATTCGATTTCTAATATGCCAATAAGTAAGCTCACCATAAATTTCACCAAACAGTTCACTGTCAGACAAATGTTCATCAGATTGATTGCCAGAACGCCTCTCAAAATGAACACGTTTTTTCCCTTCTACTGCTGAACACCATTCATCAGCTAAACGTTTACGTTTGGCTTTCAAAGCAGCATCGATTTGTTCACGTGCTAAATCATCTACACCAGTGTTACTAGTGTCCCCTGACAATTTGTTAGACTCTTCTAAACCAACTAAATCCTTTACAGCAGCTAAGGAAAACAACTCGTCATCATTTTGTTCAATATAGTCAGATTCGTGTGACATTTTTAGTACATAGCGTTCTGCAAGTTTTCGTTTCTCTTTTCTAACCTTTTTCATTTTTCTAATTATAATATGGAAAGTGGGAACGTAAAATAATAAGTGAATCAATAGTTTATCATAGTTTAAACTGAAAATTGACGAAGTGTGATTGTTCATTTCAAATATATAAAATCTAAAATTTGAAGTGAGATTAAGCAACAACGTTATGAAATAACGATGTAAAATATCAATGAACAAACAACTTGGTTGTTGCGAATAAAAACAAACACTAATCAAATTTGTAACACAGCACTGATGAAGGGCATTTCACTCACAAATAAAAGCCTAAAATGACGTTAAAAAGGTGCTTAGACTAATGGACTTTTTTAGAAAGAAAAGATATATAAAAGTTGACCGACTTGACTCCATTACGACAAACTTAGTGTTATACAAATAATTCACTGCTGTATTCGCCAAGTACAGTTATTTACTCAGTAATGAACCACAATTTAAATACGAAGTGATCCTATGTGCCTGCTCAAACCGAGAAAGATGGATCACAGTCCAAACCTGTAATTCCATAGCTAAAATTAAATTTTTTTAACCGATAAGCCATCACACTCTATCACCGCTTCCATTTGCTGTGTTTAGCTTACATATTTGTCATTTACCTAAGTCTGGTTACATATTCAATAGCTATAGTCTACGTTTAAGTTTTGAATATATATGTTTATTGTCTAGCTTAAACTCCACACAGTTTGGGAATAACCCCTGTTGAAGTATTAATGAGTGATCAAATCAGTCAACGCAAACATATGATAACTGACAAAAAATACATGGTTTCTCCTACATTCTTACTGAATACTTCTTGGTGCCTTATGGTATGTTTTTATGATATAAATTAACTAATAAAATATCCGAATCGCATAAATAACAGCCTTATCAGATCTATGTTAGAAAGCAGTAGGACGCCGATCACTTACACTTTAAAACATTTAAGTAATAACATGGAAATTACTCATTACATAAGCAATTCCTAGAGAAATATTTGATACCAGTTGGAAACTTAATGTTGCTTTAAAAATGATAGTAATTATTCAGATATCTCAAAATGTGTTTCCAAAATAGTTAAGACCTATGAAGTTGTGAGTTACTTTTTCTTTAGTTTTTCTTCCTCGTCCAACAACCTTTGAACTTGTGTCTCGACTTCCAAATCCTCTTCATCTTCATCAATACCCCTTTTAGGAAGAGTAGATTCTTCAATACTGTCTTTGGACCTGAGAACATAAAGAACATCTACAGAGTAAGCATTTTACGGTTTGGAATAAAGATAATGATTGTTTGACACAAGCGATAAGCCTTTATTGATTACTGGCATCCAAATTACTTTACTTTTCAAGAAAACTGCAAATACCTTACAACTGACTCAATTAAAACATTAAGGGTATTATACTTGCGCAGTTAAGGTTTACGAAATGCAGTCCAGAGATTCTTTGCCGTATACGGTTTCCAGCTAACTGTTGTTTTAAGAGTGATTTACGTACAATTTCAGTATAGAATTGATGTGAAAACTAACCCACCAAAAAAGCGTACTTTAATCGATGTTTTTCGGATGAAAATACTAAACTAGGAAAGATCATTAACTTCAGTGTCATATAAGTCGAGTAAACGAACATAACATATACAAAACAATCCCTATCTTTATACAACCTTAGTATACAACCACCACTTTCTTAACATCAAATCTATTTGCTGAATTCTAAAAATTTAAGTACGCTAAGAAATAAAGATGAGGCATAAGTGTTGACTTACTCTTTTGATTCAGCTTTAAAGATACTGAGAATTTTCATCCTCCATTTGAGAAGATTTCTAGAGAGCAAAATATCAAAATTATAAGCGGGTTTATGAGTAATAAGATTAAATTACTATACATCCATCTTTACGTAGATAGATTATGACAAAGATTTTAATTCAATTCGTTTTGAATGAGATGTCTGTGAAGGTGAAAAGAGGATAAATCTGCTTGTTCTGGTCTTAATATTAAGCCCAATTGTAGTGGTCATACACCCGTCCCAAAATTAACTGTAGACTTAGAAGTTGGGGTGTAGACTTGTAATTTCTTTTCTGTCTTGCTACTGCGTGGTACAATAGCATTAGCCCGAATAGATTATACGAGTAAAGAAGTGATTTTACCATATCTATTTTAAAAAATTTCAGGAATCTGGTCAAATCTTCATTGAGTGATGAACGAGTATTTCAAAAAGCAAGTAACTCTACTCAGAGGCTTGCACCATACTGATAACCACAGTTTTGGTCAAAGCCATTAAAAATTTTGGCAGATACAGGCTAAGTGAACTACAAAGGGAATTCATGAAGTTTGTGTTTTTGCAATCATCGCTACTATTGGAAGAAAATCAAGTATATGCTGTTAAACAGAACTGCATCGGGACAAAAATTAACTAGCGAGAACTAAATAATTCACAAAACACAGTGCTTTATAATTTAATATTCATACAAACTATGAGGAATCTTTTATAACAATCCAAGTCCCAAAACACCTTACGAAATGAAACAGTGCGAAAAGTAAACATACTTAATATCGCTCTTCCCAAGGACTTGAATATCACTAAAGTCTTCCTTGATCAAAGCAGTAGTTAATGGGTGGCATGCAATTTCCGGAACATCAAAAATAACCTACAAGTCAATAACAGTCAAACTGAATACCTTGTTAGTTTTCGCAAGAGCCTCCAGAGGATCACTTGACTCCAAAAATTTAGAAAGTGGGAGCTCATGATACAATGTGTCTCCCTCATCATAACCTTCAGCCTTCCTTCAAAATCAAATAAATGAGAAAGTGGGCCTACTTTTTGCGGCTTTCCTTCAAAAAAGTGGAAACCAATGCAGCGCGATCTTTTGGTGCATCAACCTCCCCAAATACATGTCGTGCATCCAAGAACTTGGGATCGATACGTGCAGGAGCGATATAATTCTGTCCAACAAGAAAGATTTCTGCAGATTCGAGTCGAGAGGCTTCAGGTTTAATAGCACGTACAGTCCGGAAAAACTGAGATAGAACCCACTTAAGCGGTTCATAATCTCGACTCCTAAAAACCTTAGTGACAAACCAGCCACCTCTGCGTAAGAACTCAGTTGCAATCGCAAATGAATTGAGCGAAAGTACAGCTAACGAGAATATTTTATAGCAAAAACTAACCTTGGCCATATTCATCGATTGACCAGGCAGCCCCCACATTCGGAGCACCATCGTGTAAGACGACATCAGCCTTTAAATCGTTTAACTCGTTTCGCAGAATCTAGCACGAAAAAATTAAAATAATGTTCTCAAACCTGCTTGCATTTATCAGTTGTTATATCGGCAATAAATGTCTTGACTTTTGGAATAGGGTGAATAGGCACCAAGTCTACTCCTAAAATGTGGCTGGTCATTGGCATTTCCTTGGCTGCAACTTGCAACCAGCCTCCAGGAGCAGCACATAAGTCTATTAGAACTTTGGAGGAATTTAGAAACTTGAAGCGACGATTTAACTGGATCAACTTAAACGCTGCTCTAGATCGGAATCCTAATATGAAAATGAGTAATCTTAAGTTTATCATACCAGTTTCCTTTGCAAGAAAATAAAATTTATCCTTCCTCGCTTTCCCTGTTTTTATTTTCTTCCCCATGACCACTTGTGACGAAAATATTTAAAATACTTGCCGTAGTCATTGAAAGCGAATGTCATCAAACCTCAAACTTTGAACCTTGCTGAATAGAAGTAGTCAGCCAAATGTCTCCTAGAACCTGATTATGAACAGTAGAAAAGATACCTTGGTAATAGTAGGATTTTATGTACAAATGATGAGCAATAAATCCAAATGGTTCAAAGGTTTTGGACGGCATAAAATAAGCGTTTGCTTAACGAGCTATAGCGGTAAATAAATCCCCAAAATAAATAGTTCTGTAAATCTTTGACATTGGATGCTGACCACATTAGTTTTGATGGACTCACCTAGCTGAAGGCGTTCGGTCATGCATCCGGGTAGGAACGCCGTGCTCAACATCCCCTGCAATCGCTAGCCAATCTGGATCAGTCGATCCTCGATATATTGATAGCCTATCAAATATATCTTCGAACATCCTCGCTTCTGTCTTTTGATTTCACTTTTTGGATACGATTCATAGTAGGCGTTACTGGTTAAAGCGTTGTCAAACTCCAAATACCTGTGGCATCTTTAGAGCTTCCATATCTAGTAACAGTGGATCACCGATGCCTTGAAGTATTAGTTCCTTAATCTAATCTCAGGTTACGTGGTAATCTAATAATGGCTGATCGTATACTGAACGGTGATTTTGGTACTAGTATATCATATCTTTCCCTTCCATCTAGGACTGATCATCTGAGCGAACATCCTAAAACAGCTCAAAAACTGAAACCAAGTCCTTCACTTTTGGAGTTCCTTTTCTCGCACCGAGTAGTGAATTGCTAAAATTATCTACGAGAACACGTAATATCATCAACTTCTTTTGATACATTCAAAGCTAGATTGAACCTCTACAGTACTACAAATTGAAAAGGATTGACAGGCTGATAAATCTCTTGTCATCATTACTGAAAACTGAAGGCTAACTCTTACTATGATGAAAAGAAAAATTGGCTATCAGTAGCGGAAGTGATCATGGACTAACACCGTCAAAATCTCTAGAACTAGAGTAAACTTCAGGCATTCTTTAAAAGACTCTACAGGAGATGTCGTTTCTATTGCTTTGGTAAGGAATCCCACACTTTGCCTATTTACTCCACTGCTAGTAGACATAGGAGATCGTTAAGCAAGAGCTTTCTTTATTCAGTCGACAACTATTTGAACCATTTGATCACAAGATGCTTTTTATAGATTTTTATAAGAATTCACTCGAGTTTTGTACTAAAGCAATGTCACCTAAGCTTAGTTTAATATTAAAATGTATTTGCGACATTTCACTAAAAAGGATTGTGAAATAGTAACCTCTTAACCCCTTCGTACTTTGCAGGTCGCTAAATATTTGCTATGCCCTTTCTGTCTCAGTGGGCTGTTTATATCAAGATTTCAACTACTGAAATAAATCATATGCAAAAAGATTACTTCCTGAACCACTTCAATTTATGTTATTGATCAAATAAAACTTTACAAACAGTCTTTTAGTTGCACTTCATGCCCTTCCTCTTGTGTTCAAGCAACCTAGTGGTCTTGGTTTGGAGTCATTAGTGGCGGTAAGAATATAGTGATCCAGCATTCAATTAGCAGAACACATCAACATTCAGCTCACAAAATTCATCACCAAGTGTACAGCTTCTATAATGACCAGCAATAATCTGCTGGCTGGCATTTTCTGCGAGAGTGGGAGGGCCATTTAATTCTGGACTCAGAACTTCATCTACAGAACCTTCAGTTTGTTGATCCTCTGGCACTGCTGCAATTTTATATGCATTTACCAAGACATAGTCTTGATGGACGATTCATTAATTCTACATATTGCTTCAGATAAAAGTGGGTTTGAACCAACCACATCCTACCATTGCTGTGACATTGACGTGGTGCTTGAGCGTGCTTATCGTGATGAGCCAATCGAGTGACACTGGCTGGTAGAATCGTTCCTCAATGTCCAGACCACCTCTCACCTAGCTTCCTCTTTGAGGACCTCTAAAGAAAGCCTTCCACGGTGTGGGCAACCGGGAAGTGAAAACCACCCTCATACCTCTAACAGCACTCAAGACCACTATGTTCATAATCAACCTACCTCTTCAATTCCTATTATTCCTCCTCCATCGACTTTCAACACCAAACTTCCTCTTTCGGCTTCCCCCTCAAGTGTCACCAGAGCGAACGATTCTAGTGCTCGAAACACTGTCCTAGGTCTACTGAAATCTCACTCCAAACTACACATTGGAGCCTTCAACGTACGCACCCTATGTCAAATCGGTCAACAGGCTTCTTTGGCTAGAAACCTAGAATCTCGTACCATTGATGTATGCTGTGTCTCTGAAACACGCATACAGGATCCTAGTGTGGTCATTAACTTTGCCTCACCTCCGCAAAACGGAGAGCCAACGAGATACACCCTCCGTGTATCTGGTGACCCGACAGCCAGCTCTCGTGGACTAGCAGGTGTGGGCATCGCACTAAGCATGAGAGCGGAACAAGCTCTATTAGGGTGGATCTCCGTTAACAGTCGCCTATGTGTTGTTCGGCTAAACGGTTCCTCAAGAACTCGGAAGGATAGGGACACACGTCGTTACCTTTTCGTCGTTTCTGCCTACGCTCCCATTGACCGCACCCTGGATGAAATGAAAGGCGACTTTTATAGAAAGCTTTCTGAACTTCTTCAAAAAGCTAAATGCTCGAACATAGTACTTCTAGCAGACGACTTTAATGCTCAAGTAGATAGGTTAAACCAAGCAGAAAGACATTTAGGTGGGTATTCTGGTATTCCAGATCAGAGAACAGATAATGTTGACCGTCTGCTGCAACTGTGTTCAGACGGTCGTTTATTTCTAACATGCACTGATTTTATGCATAAGGAGACATCGTCTAACATGGTGACCCACTGCAGCAAACCAATGATGGACTCAAATAGACCATATTGCCATCAGTAATCTTTGGAGAGGCTCGACAAGAGACTGCCGATCGTTCTAGAATACATGTTTAGATTCTAATATTAGCCTCACTGGACGCAGCAAAACCCCATTAAGAAGACCCATTAGAGTTGAACAGAGTGGCCGAAAGTAGATTCCAGAAACAACCGAGGTCACACTTAGGTAGTCCTGATAACGAGGCTGACCCAGATGTTGCTTGGAAAGATATTCAAACAGCTGTGGAAACAGCAGTGTCATCTGTTAGTGATTTAAACCAAAGAGTAATGAAAAATCAATGGATTTCTTCTATGTCTATTGCATTGATGGATTCTCGTAAACTTATCCCATCTGGATCGGGGAGGAGTAGCTGGCACAGATGAATTGACTCCAGAGGTCTTTAGGGATGGTGGTCCAATTTTAGCGATTAGGTTGACTGATATTTAACTAAAATCTGGGAGTTGGACGTAATCCAATCTAACTGGTTACAATCACTGATCATCCCAATATATAAGAAGGGGTGAAAATCATCCCGTGATAACCATAGAGGGATTAGTTTGACTAATATTGCATCTAAAATACTAGCCACAATAATTATCATTCGTCTAACAAAGACTCGTGAACTAACTGCAAACACGAGAAAATCAGGCTGGCCTCAAACCTAGTTGTGGCTGTATCGAACATATATTCACCATTCGTCAGGTTCTAGAACACAGACATACTTATCGGTGTCTGATAATGGTGATCTTTCTTGACTTAAAAGCAGCATTTGACTCCGTAGATCGCGAGATTCTGTGGCAGTATCTGTCACTGAACACCACCAGTCGAATGAGAGCTTATGGCGAACTGTCATCTGCTTTTGCAACCTCAAATGGTGTCCGTCAAGGTTGTCCACTCTCTACATTTTTGTTTAACCTTATCATAGACCTACTGATGGAAATAACACTTTCGTCGACTAAATTTTTGAGCATTGATCTCTTATCAGAAGGTCCACTTATCGACTTAAAATACGCAGAAGATATCGCCATATTTGTTGAAGACACTGATACTTGGTTGGTGTCCGCGTGACCATAGTAACCATTGGTTGGAGACTCTGGGTGACATGGCTCAGAATCAATCCCAATGGTGTAGGTGTACACACTTTCTGTCTTCCCACAAACTATGTGACTAAAATTGCTTAATATCTTTCTTTCTATGAACCAATTCTTTCTTCCTGTTCTGCATACTTTAATGCAATGTTTTTTCGATATATTACCATCACTGAAGTAACCACGATGTCTTGTGATCATTTACGATGTTATTCTCTGCAATAAAGCAGTACCTGGCTTCCTTAGTTTATCCATCAATATTAGAAAGTATTTTTTGATGTAGTTTCCTGTTGATGAGGTATAAAATGCAAGAACTCATCTGTAGTGAAATTTAATACTCTGAAACATGACCCCACTACAAAAGCCCATTTATGTCATTTGGGTTTAAATGTGATGCTATTTCTCTAGTCTTCTCTCCGTAACCGTGACATTTTTACCAAATTCCAAAGGCTAATAACCCTGATACCAGACTCTAAAGAGCTTCAATTATGCCTTTGTTGGGATATTCAGGAAAATATCCCAAAAATTATCCTGTTAAGCCTAATGCTATCCTTGGACATGAAATGGTATCATCTTATTGGTCAATATTTGTTTAACGTGTCATTTTCCTACTGGACATTATTGTACAATGTTATTTTCTATTTTATGGTACGTTGTGATATGTTTGAAATATAATGATTCATATATCCGAGGCTGTGACTTGTGTTCTGGACTCAACTGACTGGGGTAGACAGGGAAGCGGGACCAATCAGAACCCTAGGCCGTTCTACGTGTTTGTGCGACTTTGGTCCGATCAATAATTCGCAACCCTTAACCCGCAGCATTATTTTTCACAGTTATAACAGCCTTGAACTCCCGCTCACTACTGATAAATTTTATTACGGACCGACTGATATCTAGACGGAACAAGAATATAACGAACCCCATTGTTATTGATATGAATATAACTGAATTACAGAAAACACTGTTTATCCTCACCCATTATTCACTGATTATCGATCAAGGCCTTATGCTCCTAACCCTTGTTACGTCCAAGTTTTGCTCGTTCCAGTTATTGAAGTACGGACTGTCGATCTACTTGCAAATTACGAACCCAAAT